AATGTTCAAATGGGGATATTTAGCAAGAAATTTAAATCTAAACTATTACAATCCAAATTGAATATACAAGTTATCTAATTGTACAATAATAAAATAAAATATAATAAATATGCAAGATGCAAAAAATGATTTTTATATGTATGTAAAAGTATTTTCCATGTGACATATAAATAAAAATAAAAAAGGTTAATTTTTGGATATTTTTCATGTTTTAGGGCAAAACCCTAATTTGCTAAATAAAAAGTATTTGTTATTTATATCATATACAATATTTATTAATTATATACAAAAATAAATAAAAAAAGAAGTATATTGTAAAAAAGTAATTTTTGAGGTCAAATATTAATAAAAATAAAAATGTATTATTCTTGTATTTTTATCCTAAATATTCTAAATATATAAATATTTATATTATGTATTAAATATATATTAAATATATACAAAAATAAAAATATTTATTATTTACAAAAAAAAGTATATTTTTTAGAAAATGTTTTCAAAAGATAAAATAAAATAAAATCAGAAAATAAAATATATTTGTATTATTTTTAGTATTTTAAATAAGAGTGTATATATATATTTATTTACATATGGAACTAAATGAAACAAATAAATACTAAATAAAATGCAAAAAATGTGAGAAAAATATTTTTAGTGTTTTTTCATGTTTGAATAAAAATATAAAATCAGAATCAAAAAGAAAAAATCAAAAATGACAAATATATCACATAATGGGCCAGGGGGGTGTATGTTGAAAAAAGGGGTGCAAAAAGTAGGACTGACTCAGGCCCAGCCCAAGCCAGTCATCTTCAACCTCCGGACTTGTTTGAACAAACAACAATGCGTGTTTCCTAACTCCTGATTCCTGGACTTTCAAGCAAAACTCACAACACCAAAAATGTAGAGCATCAAGAGACGAATCCAGACATATAAAAAACTTGACTTAACTCTAAGAAACGAGGGAGAATTTCTTCATCCCCAATTTCTGACCTAAGTTTTTTCCAATGTTCAGGTTCAAAATTCTCTCAGTACACACAACATAAATGCAAAGTAATTATATGTGTAGCTTCAGGGCCATGAGTAGAGCATGTTTCATTCATAAACCTAAGCCTAACTCTTCCTAGATTGAGAGATAGAAGTCCATGTTTTTACCTGTTTCAGCTTGAGACGTGTACAACAATGGAGGTACTTTCAATGGAATTTGAGGACTTGTACAGCTTGCTTGAAGTTCAGGGATGTTTCTCCAATGCTTGGTGTGCCTTGAAACTGACTGAAACGAGCTATGTAACTCAACCTGCACAACTGAAAAAATGAAAATGGTGAACTTGGTTAGAGGTGTTACAGTCTGTAGCTAGGGCTTGGAACAGTTTCAATGGATGGTATGGAATGTGTTTGCAAGGTTATTAGCCAAAGTGCACGAGTGGATTGAGTTGTGGACCTCAATCTGCAGGGATGCCCTTTTTTGTGCAGCAAAATGGTGTTTTGATGAATGGTGAGGTTTGGAATATGGTAGGCTCGTGTTTCAGGTCAGTTGGATCAGGTGAAAAATGTTTACAAAGTTTGCTTTGGCTCTTGCTTGCAGGAATGTGAGTTGTGTTTTGCTTTGCAAAGTTTCTTCCTTCTTAAGCAAAAGTTGCCAAGTTAGGTTGTAGGCCAAGGCAGGTCCCTCAAGCATGCTGCATAATCTCTCCTTGATCAGTGGGATTAGTCCATAAACTTGTGCCCAAAAGATATGCTTTGTACTTCTTAGATTGTAAACTTGACATAAAGCATTGCTTTTTCAAAATGGCAAACTTGCTTTTTCCATATATGGATTGATTTTGTGTGTATTGTCCAAATGCACAAAATAACACTCTAACACAAAGGATATGCATTTAATTATTGAGTGTAAGAAGGATTAGAGGCCTGTAATCTAGCTTGTACAAGCTGATTTCAAAAATGCCCATGTTATGAACATGCATTTGGTCATGAACAAAAGTGACTTTTGCCCAACTTTGCCAATTCAATTCTCCCTAACCACAAGGGTGTTTGAGAAGTTATTGGACAATTTGGAAAGCTTGGAATGTGTACTACAATCCATATTTGTAATGAAAGTTTAAACTCCAAGTGGAATCATGTGAAAAGTGGCCATGAAGTTGGGCAAAAATCCTGCCTAGAATAGGTCAAAAAAATTCTAAGTTAAGAATGTTTTGCACCCTTGTTCCAAAAATCATAACTTGAGCTACAAGCTTCTTTTGAGAAAACTTTGTGAATCAAAGTTGTAGATTTTGCAATGGAATACAACTTTCATGTTTTGAGTTTTGTTTGAATCCAAATGTATCTTGATGAAAAGATGGGACAAAGTTAGGAAAAAATTAGGAAATTTCATAACTTAGAAAATTTCTAAGTTATGAAATTTCTTCATTTCAAACCCTAATTTGTAATTTTTGGTTTCTTGATGAACAAGTTTCATAATTTGACATGTCTTGATGAAAAATGAATCTTGACACTTGATTTTGACCAAAAAGTCAAAGTTTGACTTTTCAGTATACAGTCAAATTTTGATCAGTTTACTGGAAAATTCATTTGTCAATCTTGTGCATTTGGGATCTTTTGAACTTGTTGAATATGTCAAGACCATGCCATTGAGTCCTTGAGTCCATATGTGAGCTTGGTTTGCCATTGGCTAGGTCCAACAGTAAAAAATTGCCTTTGTGTAGTCAAAACCCTAAAAATGACCATTTTGCCCTCTTGGTGATCTGATCAAATTTCTTGTGGAATTGTGACCCAAACTTGACCAAATGGTTCATATGAGTTCATAATATTGATGTGGGTAAAAAATCATGAGGTTTGATTGTCAATTGACCACAATTGACTTTTTCCCCAATACAGCTGATTTCTAGGTCAATTGTCCAATTGACTGGGCAAAGATTGGAATCAAGGCTTGAAACTTGGTATGGATAAACTTGTGAGTCCAACATGAGGCATGAAAGTCATCTTGGGCACTTTAGGTCAAAACATCTTTGTGCAAACTCAAACCCTAATTTGGGTCAACAGTGCAAGGAGGAGTCTTGAGCAGAGCAAACTCTAACTTGACCTTGAGCTTCAAGGGTCTTGTGGTGAGAAAATATTGATGAAATGGGAGGGCAAATTTTGGGGTACAACAATGTGGAAGAACAAAATGAAACACTTGACAATATAAAGAAAAGATAGTTAAAATCAACAGTAAATATCTGTGTAAAAACCACTGATAAAATTTGCATCAAAGATGCATAGTTGTGGCATTCACGTTTTGATTGGCTAGGGAGAGTTTCACACGGATCACTAATATTTCATGTGATTGATGAGTTGACAATGTCTTGACCATCGTTACTTTATAAATGGACGACAAAGATCCATTACTTAATTTTTTTCTTCAAATTGGTCATAAATAAAAAAATGCTACTTTATCCCTCTGTTTTAAATAAAACTGAGGTAATAGGTCATAAAAAAAATTTTAAAAAAATTAAAAGGTAAAATTGCTCATGAGTTCAATCCTCAGCAACTGCATTTCTTTTTTATTTTCAAAACTGCGATACTTTTTGAGTTGGCTATTAACAAAAGTCGAGGGATAAAGTCTTGTTTAAATTTTTTTTTTAAAATTAATAAATGATAAAGTGTAGTTGTTGAGATTCGGAGACATGTTCTCTAAATACTTTATTCCTCGGTTTTAAGCAAAATAAAGAAAATAGGTCATTAGAAAATTTTAAAAAAATGTAGTTGCTGTGATTCGAAGATACGTCCTCTAAATATATTTTCCTTCAGTTTCCAGTAAAATCGAGGGAATATATGATATTTTTTATTTAAAAAAATTAAATATGACGCGTCTATAGTTTATAGGTGCTCCCCCAAATCGAGGGAATTTCGATACAAGTTCCTTCCGGTCTCTTTCTCAAACAAAGGCTCGTGATACCATGTTGGGGGAGATTATTAGGAGCATTGATGCATAGTGTAAGAACTGAGACCAGTTCGTGGCTTATAGTCAGGATCGAGGGGAAGTTCATCCGATTCTCCATCAAATGGCATCCGATTATTCCAACACGAGGGGAAGTTCATTTGATTCTCCATCAAATGGCATCCGATTATTCCAACACTCCCTTTCAATTCAAGCACTTTTGTGAGAGACACACCACTTCTCCACCTAAAACCTTAAACTGATAGGTGAGTGGATTCTCCCACTTATATATGCTTAAGTCTCCACATTCATATCCAATGTGGGACTATTTCTCCACTTATTCACACTTGCTATATTATTCTAACATATACTTCGAATTTTTATTGAGTGAGATGAAATGTTCCATCATGAAAAATATTATTTGTTGTAGTGTACATTTGTTAAGTTTAGATTTTGATTATTCTTTTGTTTTGGTGAATGTTTTCTTCTTATTATCTCTTTTAATTTTTTCTGCTTTCGGCAAGTTTACGGAGTTATTCAAGGGAGTTGGGCTTGAAGTTATGCAACGAATTGAACTTGGAGATATATAAAATAAAAGAAGAAAACGAACCATATATTTTAATGTTCCTAAAAAAAATTGATTTAAGTAACGTATAAATTTCATAAAGAAGTTTAATTATCTTGCAATGGTTGTTCTTGGCAATAATTGTTGAACCTTCAATCCTAGAATGTCTTGTGCTAATAATTCTCATTTTAATTTAATTGCTTTTGCTTCTTAAAAAAAACTGCATCGATAAAGAAGCATTGATATTGAAGCATGGACAGAAATGTCAAATACATTAACTGACAAATGCATTAGTGGCTAATATAGTATTGGAGTTTTTATTATTAAAATAATGATAATAATCAAATTAAATAAAAATAAAAATAAATTCTTAGCTTGTCATAACCTATTATCTATAATATAAGAAAATTGAATTTATCCAAAAAGTCAATTTTGTCTTTTTGTTCTAAAATTATAACACGTGACTGGATTACAACTTAGAAATTTTGTTTTTTCATATTTTCCGGAATCTGTTTCGTATTTGTTTTCCACAACAGCAGTGCCACTTCCACTTTTCCACAACTGAATGGTGGTTACGAAATTGAAATTACTCTGCCATTATTTTTCCAAATCATTCATCCACTTCTACTCTTTCCATATTCATCGGCAGTTACGTTCTTGAAATCATGGTTTCAACGATCTCTCGGTGACGGTCCAGGATGTTTGATGCTGAGATGTCCTGATCCCTCTTGTGGTGCTGCTATTGATCAAGATATGATTAATCTTTTAGTATCTGACGAAGATAAAGAGAAGTGTGATCATTACCTTCTTATATCAAACTCTTGAAAGTTTAACTTTGCCGATAACTAATACATTTCTTAACGATTTAGAAATTGACGGAAAAACTACGGGTTGGTAAGCTCATAAACTTGCATAGTTGTATCCTTAATAGTTTGTAACAAACTGAGGAGTAGTAATTCTATTGACAATACTTTTTTTCTTTTTGCTTAAGGTTGCCGAGATAACACAAGATTGGATAAACATAAATCAACCCTCCCGACCGAACCGGTGATTGAATAGGTTAGTTTAAGCTGGTGAATAAATAGTTGAAGTGGGATGTGATCTGATACCATCTAATAATTGAGATGTTGCTTTCCTTGATGATACATCTGTTTGTTGTATTTAGTTTTACGATTTTTTACAGCCTGCCAGATGATTCCCGTTGATGTCGTGTTTTTTTGTAATAATAATTAATCATAGTTATTTTCCATGTTATTTTGTAGGTTGTGTTAGTGATGTGTTTTATATACCTCATAAATTATGATACTGGTTTTGTAGTTTGCTCCAGGAAAATAGATTACCTTACATTCATGGGTGAATACTACATGATTAAGGCTGGACACGACTTTGAACGCTTGTGCAAAGGTATGGCTAAACTGAAACTACAACATGTTTCTTGAATTGAGTTGGATGATCTTGTTATTGAATTGATAATTTCGTTAAGCTGGAGTATTATGATTTTTTGTTGTTTGTGTCGCTGCACCAGGTGCATATGAATTGATTTTGTATGATGACGCGCTTGAATGCTCGGACCAGTGGCATTAGTTTATGGCATGCTATAGGACTGATTGTTTTGGTGTGTGAACCTGACAATGAGGTATGAACTGATGCAATTAATGTTGTATATGCTGCAAGTGATGAAACTGGTGATGATGTAGCATAGCAGGCATAACAAGTTGAGGCTTGGAAAACTGATGTTGATAGTGTTTCTGATGCAGGGAAATTTGAAACGGTTTCTATTTGGTTAATAAGTTAGTAGATTTCTTTAATTGTTGTTCATGTGCATTCAGGTAACACACCCACTGAGTGATCAAGCCATACTTTATGCCCGTCTTATACCTGTATCTGAAATCGCGGAGTCCATAGGAACTTGTAATGGCATGAAGAATCTTGGAGTCCATAGGAACTTGTAATGGAATGAAGAATCTTGCAGGTTTTGGTTTAACCATCTCAAAGTCAATTATATTGCTCTAAGGTTGAGTCAACTTTGCAAGTTGTTGCATTTCTGTTTAGATTTGTAGACCTTCTGCACAGTAAAAGGGGACTTTATGAAGAAGCTGTTACTCCTAAATTGCATGAAGTTTTAGAGGGCTTTAATTGTACCATGTTTGTTTATGGGGGAACTGGTACCGGAAAAACATATACTATTAAAGGGGTAACAACTTCGGTACAGGCCATCTGCTGATGCATTTTCTGTGTTGTAGATCATTTTATGTCGGTTATGCAGCAGTGATGCTGATATTAAATTTGCATAGGTAATTAAACTATTTTAGCAACAAGGAACTAAGTTATGATTTGAGAACTTAATAATCCATATTCTTCCTACTTTTTTCCCCTTATAATGATTCTGATCAATTGATTGTTATAATCTACATAGTTCTGATCATATTTTAACAACTCATTTTTGTGACCAACAACATTTTCTTTTATCTGGTGAAGAAGTTTTTATATCTCATGTTTGATATTTGTTTCCACAGGTTTCTGTAGGTTACTTTATTTTTGATTTTGTCATGATCCTTTGGTTTTTTCCTTATCTTGGTGGATATGAGTATGTAAGGATAATATCTTCTTCACTTGCACTGTTTAAGCTAACTGTCATATGTAGTTGAATGCTCTTATTCAATTTTAAGACATTTAATTTATATGAACTTAGTTGGAGATCATTAAGGTCGGGATTTAACTTGACTTAATGTTAACATTGGTTCAGGTGGTTCATGATTTGTTTTCTTTAGTAGCAGTAACCATATTCAATGTTCAGGTATTGCTTTGTTTTTTAATTAAAAAATAATGTTTAAATATGATTTTTCTCAATGAGACTATATTGCTACTCATACTCATTGTTAGTGTTATATTATTTTTGTTGAAGCAATATATTTCTGCCACAAAGACGAGGGACCATAGAGCAAAAGAAAAAGGACAAAACCCTGATGCTGATAGCTTTTCTATGTTTTCTGGAAGAGCTTTTACATCAGAGAAGGACATGGAAGAGTTGAATACCTTGAAGGAACAAATAGGATACCTTCAGTTGAAATTAAAGGAGAAAGAGGAACTTTTAAAGTCAGCAGATGCAAAATTGGATGAAATGAAACACCAGGTTTTAGAAAAAGGCGGTTCCCTTAAGTATACTCAACAACAACTCTCTGATGTTAAGGTACTTTTTTAGTTATATATTTAAACCTTTTCACTTGCTACATGACATGCATGGCTTCTGATTTTCATTGAATTAATTCTATAATACTCAGTTTAGATAGGTGTAAATCTTATCTTCTTATGTATTTATTTACCGACATCATTTTCCACAGATAAGCAAACTGCCCTTGAAAAAATAAATTGGGAAATGATGACATCCAACAAGAAAGTGGAAAAACTACAAGAATATTTGGACTCTGTGCAAGTAGATGTTTTGACATTCACGTTGCTGCTCGAAAGCTTAGCAAATACTGACACTGCAATGTACACAGATGATTATGACACCAAGCCTTATGTTTTCAATCACGTACTAGAAATTGTGAGTTTGTTAACATTTTTTCAATCTATATACCCATGTATATTTTCACACATTGTTGTATATGGCGACAATTTTATCACAACACTAGAATTATGCAGAAATAACTAATCCATGGATATTGACCTTTAGAGTTATACATCTCTGGTTTGACTGGATGATATGGATGAGATGGAATGGCAGAAAATGGAAGAAGCAAGAAAAGCTTACATCGTTGTAGTTGCTGTTAGCAAAGAAAATCAAGATGAAGAATTTATTGTTGTCGCTGCTAATGCTAGGTTACGTCTTCAATCAGCTGCAGTGGTTACATGGAAGACAACTATAATTATGATAATTTTTACTGGAAGAGCAGTTGTGGTTGACTCTAATGCTATAGTCAATAGCAGCTGCTTTGTGAAAAGAGCTCTTTGGGTTTTAGATATGTTATCTCATGCGGCGAAATCAGCCGTAAAATTGGTTCAGCATCAAAACAAATGAAACTCAAACGTTTGGTTGTTGTACACATACAAATAGGAACAATTAGTCGGTGATACTATATCAGATTGAGGTTACTTATCTGGTGCAAATGTTGATACCAGAGATTCCATGATAAACAACAATTGTATTAGTTTGAGGTTACTTATATTGCTTTAGGATGCCGTTATTTCACATCACCCCTTCTATTTTGGACCTTTTTTATTTTGACTATTTGATTGTAGATCTTCAGTTGGATGTCAAAGGTTTTACCGATGTGTATGCTTCATTCGATACGTATGTTGAAGTGGAAAAACTTGATGGTTTACAGGTAAAATCTATAACCATGCATTCTCTTATGTTACTCTCTACCTGACCTTTAATTATTGTTATTATTGTTGGATAATCAGATCCAATTTATTGTGATGGGAAGATTTGATTTGATCATTAGTTTGTATTGTTTTATATGTTACTGATTCCACCTAATGGAAAAGGCCTTTGTTGTTATTGTAATATTTATTTTGTATAATGTTGCTTAGCTTTTCAAATATAAATATAAATTTGCTTCTACTATAATTTCCATTTTCTAACTGTATATGCAAAATTTCTTCATAAAGTTGGTTCTAGGCCAACCTATAAAAATATAGGAAATATCAAACTTATCAAATGGTTGGATCTTTGTCATTGGTTACAACTTATTGTTAGTTGGTTAATTCTTGTTATATTGTTATTTGGGTTTTTAGCATATTTGGGTCTGGGCTGTTTTGCCTATATATAGGGCCATTTTATTTGTAATGATATAAGTAGCAACGATAATAACAGAATTCAGTTTTAAAGTTAGTTACACTTAATTAACTCAACTCTCTCTGTTCTTGTTGTTGTTTTTCACAGTATTCATCTTTCTTGAATCTTTTGTCCCAATAAATTGGTATCAAGAGCTTGTTTGCAATTCAGAGTGAGTCTAATGGCAAACGGATCAACAACATTAATACAATTTCCAGCAAATCTATCAGTTTTCAAAGGTAAAAAATATCAACGATGGGTGACACAAATGAAGGTTATTTTCAGATTTCAAGATGTTGTAGAAATCTTAAATGATGGAATATCAGAACTGGAGGTAGATGCAACAGAAGCCCAGAAAGTTGCGTACAGAGATCAGAGGAAGAAAGATGGCAAGGCGTTGTTCTTGATTCACCAGTGGATTGTGATGTGTTTGAGAAGATAATCGAAGAAGAAACAGCAAAAGGAGCTTGGGAAAAGCTGAAGTCCTTGTATAGTGGAGATGAGAAATTAAAGAAAGTGAAGTTGCAGAATCTAAGAAAGCAGTGTGAGATGCTGCAGATGAAAGGGGATGAATCTGTTTCTGCATATTTCTCAAGAGTTGTGGCGCTAACAAACCAGATGAAGGCATGTGGTGAAGCGCTAACGGATCTGCAAAAGATAGAAAATGTATTGAGATCTTTAATTGCAGACTTTGATTATTTTGTTGTGACAATTGAAGAGGCTAAGAATCTTTCTGAGATGAAGTTGGAAGAACTTTAAGCTTCTTTGGAGGCTCGTGAAATGTGGTTGCAACAAAGAAACTCAGAAAGGGAGAAAGCAGTTGAACAAGCATTGCAATCAAGATTCAGCAAGAAAGTTGGAAAAGAGAAATCGAAGCAGCGAAAGAATCTTGCTGGTGATGAGAAGTCAAGCAAGAATGCTCTAGGAAAAGACTTAAGCATGAATGATGTCAAGCAATTCATGTTGAAGTTGTGGAATTTTGTGCAACTTCCTGGGATGTTTTACCATGAAGGAGAACACTTCTTGCTGGGGTTTAACTCTCGCAGAGATAGGGAACAAGTGGTTATGAAAGGGCTTTACATAATCCATGGAGTCCCTATGGTTTTGAAAGAGTGGAATTAAGGGTTTGACTTCAAATGAGTCATGCTTAGGACCTTACTGATTTGGGTGACTCTACCAAATCTGCCCTTTCATCTATGGCAGAAGAAAATCTTACGAAAGATTGGTACTGTTTTAGGAACGCCCCTATGCTCAGATAAGTACACAACTAATAAATTGTGAGTGACATATGCTAGGCTACTTGTGGAAATTGATATCACAACCAAGATGAGGGAGATAATTCTTATTAAGGATAATGAAGGAAAGAAAATAACTCAAAGGGTGGAATATGAATAGAAGCCGAAATACTATGAGAAGTGTAGGAAAATGGGTCACCAATGGATGGAATGGAGACCTAAGAATGTGAGGAAATGGAATGTGAAAGTGGCTTAGGAGAATCAGAAGTAACCTCCAGCAATTCAAGATAGCCTTAAAGCTGATCATAAAGAGGTTGTAGATGTGCCTGAATCCTCAGTTCCTTGGATAGAAATCCCAACAATCGGGAAGAAAGGTAGGACTCAATCCCATAGCTTCCCTAGTGATGCTGAATTTCCGTGTGAGAATGGGTTTGACACTCTAAGATTATGGAATGAATCTGGAGTGTACAATGAACCCCCATCAAGATCTTATCTTAGAATGTGAGGGGCATTAATAATGCTGGCAAGTGTAGAGAGGTTAGTGCCCGCCTCAATAGTCTACATCCAGATTTGGTCATTTTAGCAGAAACTAGAGTTAATAGCAATAAAGTTGTTTATATCAGGAACAAATTTGGGGGTTAGTGGTCTTGGATTGACAACTATCAAGCTCATGCTAATGGGATAATTTGGATGATGTATAATGACATAAAAATCCAAGTAGACCACTGTTGTAGTTCTGATCAAATGATACATGTGGGGGTTCATAATCTAGCAGGGACTCTGATTTTATGGTGCACAAGGGTTTATGCTTGGAATGCCCTTAAGGAGAGGAAAGCCCTGTGGGAAGACATTATAGAACTCCAACCTTTGAGTAATGAACCTTGGTTCATTATGGGTAATTTTAATAATGTTCTGAGGGCTAATGATAGAATAGGAGGAAAACCTGTTATGGAATCTCAATATGAGGATTTGGCCTACATGATGGAAAAATTTAACTTATTTGAGAAGGACAGTAGGGTGATCACTTTACCTGGTCTAATAAACAGGCCAGTGGCATGATTTACTCCAGGACTGATAGGCTCATTGGTAACATTAGTTGGAACCAACAACAAATCAATGCTTCTATGTTCATCATTGAACTGGGCACATTTGATCATGTTATGCTCTGCTTAAAGGACCTTGGACAGACCCAACACAAGAATCATCAATTCAAAATTTTGAATATTGTGACTGCAAAGGAGAATTACCTGAAAAAAGTCAAGGATAATTGGGAGATCCCTATAACTGGTAGCAACATGTATATTGTTGTACCCCAAAATTTCCCTCTCATTTCTCAAGAAATCTCTCATAAGACCTCCATTGATTCAAGACTACACAAGGTTTGATTAACTCAAGACACCTCTTCAAACACTGACAACTCAAAACTAGGGTTTGAGTTTGCACAAAGATAATTGAACTTATAATGCCTTATATGACTTTCATGGATAATTTTGGATCCCCAAGTTTGCTCATGTCAAGTTTCAAGCTTTGGATCACATTTTTGCTCAGTCAGTTGATCAGTTGACCTAAAATCAGTATTAGGGAAAAAGTCAACTATGGTCAATTTGCAGTCAAACTTCATAATTTTTTATCCATATCAACATTTTGAACTCATATATGTCAATTGATCAAGTTTGGATCATAATTCCTCAAAGAAATTTGATCAGAACACCAAAAGGGCAAAATGGTCAAAATTAGGGTTTTGAATGAGAAGGCTCAGTTCTTGACTTTTGACCAAGAAAATGACTTATTGGTTTAAGACATGATCTCAAGGATTCAAATGCACCATCTTGACCTAATTGCATGGTTTAAATCACCTCTCAAGATCATTGGATTGACAGATGAATTTCACTCAACTGATGAAAAGTCAACTGTATACTGAAAAGTCAAACTTTGACTTTTTGATCAAAATCAAGTTTTAAAAATCATATTTCATCCAGACATGCCAAAATATGAAATTTGTTCATCAAGAAATTAAAAAGTCAAAATTATCTTTGAAAAGTCAAAATTCTAGGACTTAGATATTTTTTTAAGTGTTAGAAAGTTAACATTTTTTCATAACTTTGTGCCAAATTTCCACCATGATGCAAGATGATTCAAGGAAAACTTCCAAAATGAAAGTTGTAGATCTCAATGAGATATAAAACACTGTAGGGCATAACTTTTTCTAGAAATGCTTGGATTTCAAGTTATGAATTTATGAAGACATGTCCATGAAACTAAAATACTTAGTGAAATTTTGAGTATTTTAGTCAGGATTTTGACCTAACTTCATGGTAACTTTTCACCTAGTTCCAAATTGAATCTTCAAAAATATCCAACATGAAGGTTGCAGGGGATCTTGCAAGATTTCCAAAATGTCAAAGAACTCATCAAGACCATACTTGATCTAAGAGAATCAAAGGCAAGATGTTAGGGTTTCAAACTTGTTTTGCAAGACATATTTTGTGATGAACATGAACCAAATCCTTAGCCATGCTGCATAATACTCACTTTGCAGGCCTCAAACTTATTGTTCACTCCATAGTTAATGGTTTACATAACTGATTGTGCCCTTATCCAAGTGTTTCAAGCTTTTCCCAAACCAATTTGCCATTTTAGGAAGAAAGTTCACACTTCCATTTTGGAAAAGTGGCTTTAATCACAATGTCAACTCTTCTTGATCCCATACATTGTTTCTTCTGACTCAAAAACATTTCAACTCAAGAAGCAACATATCTACAGCCTGTTAACCACCCTACAAATCCTTGTACTTCACATTGAAACCATGTTTGTCAACTTTGCTTCAAAATCAAGTAACCAAGCCATAACATGTGATTTTAAATTCTGAGTTATTTCAAGTCTCAAAACCTTTTGCCTATAAGTAAATACACTATTTGCAAGCTAGGACACGAATGCTTAAGCCCTCAAACCCTCTCAAAGTTAGGATTGCATAAACAACATTCATTGTTGCACTTTCTGGCTAGAAATCCCAAACATCTAATCCACTCGTGCGTTTCTTGGCCTTTCACTTCTAAAAGTTCCTAGACATCATCTACAAACAATCCCGCACCCTGTTACACGACTGTAACATCTCCATCACTTTCTTCTATAACCAAAAAATAGAGCTTTCATCTTGACTTCTCTAGCACGACTCAGACACTCCCAACATCAAATAAGGGTTGTGTAACACGGTGGGAGAATTGCCTTGGTTGTTTTGTGTTTAATCGAAATTGTGCGGATAGAAAGAGTCGCCACCGACTTTTCTTTTATCCAAAAGGAAAGGCTAAAAAGAACAGGAAAGACCTTTAGAGATGTTTTCTTGAGTTCGGGGGGTAGG